GTAGGTCGCATGTAAAACAAGTGTCTTAGAGACAGTACATTCATCCACATGGTTATAAATTTGCATATATTTTAGAGAAATCTGTACTTAGAGTCTTTGAAACATCCCATTTAAATCTCTGGTTCTTTCAGTTACTTCTACTGATGATGAGTTTCTGGATGCCTCGTTAACAATACGATGTCACTAAAATTTGTTCCTAGGTATTTTCATTTCACTTAGACCTTACTATCTCTTACAATCTACCATCAAATGCAGTCTAATTTTAAAATATCGACTTGACAGTTTACGCTAATGTTTAGGATTTTTGGTGGTTTGAATTAGTCCCAGTTTGACATTAACATAGAAAAATCTCTATTTATATATACATATATATATGTTTTTCAACAAATGTTTATAACAGCCATACTACTTTATACTCACATAAGAAACAAAAATATTAGTTATTTCCTTATTTTTACCAAATAATTATTGGCTTCTGATCATTTTAAATTTCGTATCGATGGTGTCAGCATGTTCTGATCTCTAGCAGCCTGCTGATCACACATTTGTCTGAGGAGTGGACGTTAAGAAATGTGAAGTTGTCTAAGGAACTATACAGCTTACTGAAATCAAATACATATCAACCAAGCAGTAACTATACATATGGTAGAGGTACCTTGACTTTACTAAAATAAACAAGAAGTTGTGGAATTTCAAGAATATGTGCTATGTCACTTTAGAAGTGAGAAGCAGTACAGTTATCGCTCTCTTATAATGAGTTAGAATTCTACTTCTCAATCTGTCCTGTTGGAGACTCTCATGTTAAGACTATCTAATGGACGTAAATGAGGAAACTGTTCCAAAGTGACATGGAAGTACTGCAACGATGAGGCTACTAACCACCACTTTTCTGGTTGACGAAACACGTGAGCTCTTCTGTCCGACAGATGCGATGAATACATTTCTGCAATGTAGCCTGAGTAAGCATTCCTCTCAGTTTGTTGGCATCAAGTCGTTCGATTGGCTTAATTGTCTCTTAGTATACCAGGGCTCTTATATAGCAGTGAAATTTCACAACTGTCATACATATGAACTATTCTGTTTTTTAAGTGTTTATGATTCTAATATAACTAACTACTCCACTATGTCAAGCCGTAAACATTCACAGTATGACCTGTCAGGTTCACTAGACTATCTGGATGGTGTAGTCCGAGTTACCACAACTTGATCAGCACTTGTACCTCATAAAAGCAACTCACTTATGAAAGTCAATTTCACCGTAGTTATCATCTAAGAAACTTGCAAATTGAACTATCCCAATTTTTCTAATGCAAAAATTTGGAGCGCATTTTCAAATAGACTCTCACAGTTCTATAATAGTCATTCCCTAATACATCAGATGCTAGCACAGTTAGGTGGTGATACGTGAAAGTGGAAAGCACATTAGATAGCGTGTCGTGAATTACTATGATGTGCTGCGCTATTCACTGCTGACAGCCCTCCAAAGCAGTTAAAGTGTTATGAGAAACACTGGGACTGCACTTGTTTTAAGGGACTGGTGATTACAACCCGCTCGCTTATCATTTTATGTTTTTTCGTAGTCCGTGAGAGTACTTGCATGACGCAACAGAAACAAGTGACAATAAACATTCAAGCAACACAGTATTTGCAGAAGTGTAACTTTATTACAAAGAAGAGGTAGTGTAGACCAAGGGAGACATGTAGATTAACTGGAATTCGTCTGTCGCTGATGGCTTAGCATTTTGTTTAAGTCATATACTATCTTGCATAACTATGATAGTAGAAGGATTATTGTTACTGCGAGGCTGGAGGGTTGAAGAAACGGTCGCTTGCAGCCTATAGAACACGTCTTGTTTGAAAGGCTTAGAACTTATGTATTTGTTTCTGTCATAAGACGGGTGGAGTGTTTGGCCATGTGGTCGTTCAAGAGGAATAAGTCAATACAGTCAGTCAACTTTCGGCCACTTTTATAAGGTTGCTGCATCAACTCTACAAAAGCGTAAGCTAATTACACTATGAGGTTGTGCGCTTTTTCATCCACTGACTTTCAACCAATTTACGTGGCAATGAAAAATGCACTAAAACGCTAGTTTTAGACGGAACAGTTCAGTGTGCCATGGGAATTTCTCCTGATAGCTTCTAACTGAGTCGCAGATGTCTACACAGATGAGAGGAGAACAGCAATCGAACAGCATATGTCTCTTGTATTGAGGTATCTTGGCTAACATACACCAACAGCACGTACAGCAATAAAGTGGAAAGCAGAAGACACTAGGTCAAGAAAATTGTTATTAGTCTTTGTATCAAATATGGGATGCAAACGAATCCGAATGAATCTTCGAAATATGTAATAGTGATATATATATATATATATAATAATGTTTGTTCCTGATAGTTTAATCCTTCAATGCAGACTAAACAATCCTCAGTATATCGTTTGGGTTAGCCAGTTACAATTGTCGCACAATAAATAGTCTCAGTAACTAACTTAATGTTTAAAATAAAGATTTATGGGTATCAAATAAAAACTTCCAATTTTACTTGTAGCAATGATAAAGTTATCTGTTCTGATTAACTAAATCAGTACCAAATATGAGTGAAATAAATTCGTGAGCGTGAATTCCACTTGTATGCGAAATATAGTTAGCAATATAACCAAACAATGATGGAACAGTAGAAATCAAGCGTTGAAGTATGCACGACTCGTTTTTGTAGAATAGACTTTCTTTTGAACGCCATTCAACACATGAAAACTGTGTTACTGCAATATACTCCCTTTCAAATAGTTAAGTCCACCCCATACGAATGAACGTGGGCAATATCGCTATACTGAGCCATTTGAAAATCTACCAGCTAATGCTTCTTAGACGTCAGAAGATAAAAAGGAGAAAACATTGTTCGCCTTTTCAGAAGCCTGCGTGATCCCAAACTTGAAGTTGTATTTTCGAAGACGGGAGAAACTGGTCATTTCACCCTATTCCCATGCAGATTTGATATACCAGTTATATTTCTATACATTCATATTGTTTCGTTTCACTCAGCTATAAGCTTATATTTCCTGACAGTATTCTTTCGCCTTTATTACAGTAGGCGGAAGAAATTGTGTTAGCCGTTCAGGTAAAAATTCTATAGCAGTTTGTCGATCCATTGATCAATGATTACTCAATTCTGCATAAGACGACGTAGTACCAATAGTTGTATATTTGGAACAGAAATAATGGGAGAACCATTCATCAGTGTGCAGTGACAGATCAGAAAGCTTTCCAATCGGTTTTCTCGTAAATGAGATTCACTGAATATCACACATGACTTACAGTCCAGCTCACATGGAATACAGATTGATGCGATCATCTTGTGAACATAGACACGTCAGAAGTTCATAGCTTACAAGGTCTAAGATATAATTAATAACCTAAGGTAGTCCATTTCGAAGAGATAGCCAGTATCACGATTTGTGGAAGACATGTTTGTTGGGAATTAAGATTCTATCGTCTCGGCGACGTCAAATCGCCGTGTCAACATATTACGGAGGAAAGAATTATCAAATATCGATCAAAAGATTTCTTAAATCATAGCTTAGCTATGCGTATACTTTCGATAACATGCAGTCACAAAGAGTAGTGAGAAACAAACTGAAGAAGAAGAATAAATGTGGAGTACGAAATACTACACACCAATTTCATGTTGTGACTGCACAAACTGCTGTTCTTGCTTTATTCAAATTCATAAAGGGGAATGAATGTATGCATATTCGGTTATACACAGAATTCGAGGGAAGGGGCTGCCATAATTTTTTGAATAATCCATTTTGTATTCATGTACATCTACAAATGCAGTGTTCATGCTGGTTAGCACGAGTTCTGTCTAATGTAATTCAATATCTTTAACAACCAATAAAATGATTCAGATAATATTGTTGTTTGAAGGTGATGTGAACTGGCCTCTATGGAACAAAAAGAATGTCGCAAAATATAACTGACGCACAAGAACTAATTGATTGGTCAAAGAGAAAACTACAATTTCAGAAAATTATATAAGCAGCTGCATGGGCTAACTAGTTGTACGAAGTCATAGAAGACACTACAATACAATACACCCATCATTCAATATGATAATAGCCTTGTGTATCAGTCTGATTCCAGTCATTTTGACAACCACTGTCCAAGGTAATTCCTTTTTTTCTTCTTCTTTTTCTTGAAAATTAAACCTGATTTTCACAAACACAATCAATTGATGATGTTACATTCGTCGTGAAAACATTGTACGGACTGGTAGATTATTCTCAGTGTGCAGAGGTGATGAGATTCTCCCCACTTGTGTGTCTTGCATCACGTGCATGCATCACATTGAGTTCGATATGTTTGTTATTCACTCTCTCAGTATGAAAAGGAGTTAGGATTGAGATGGAGAAGTTGTTGCGAGTACGTGTAAGTAAACTAAGTCAGTAGCTAGAGAAGTCATAATTATTAGATGTGGTTCTCCTGCAGTACGGATGAAGTGTATACCTTCACAAACACAATCTTTGTGTCGAAGCGCATGAAGTAGACTTCCACTATGAAGACTCAGACAGACTGGAAATATGCACAATGTTGCATTTGTTTCATGGAGCTGTAAAACGAAATTGTTAGTGGGCTTCGTTGGAGTTGAATAATTCAGCTTTAGAATTAATACACGTACTCATTTGTAGTCATGTGGTTGAGTACTTAATCCGTCTCACCTACACTTCCAATCATTCTGCAGAAACACGCAATCCTTTTTGAGATTACTACTACTGGTATTAATAGTGATGCAGATTGGAATTATAAGAGCACTCGTACATTTGACAGGTCTTAGTAGCCTCTGTCTGAGAATCCCCATCGAAATACAGTGTTTCGTGGTCATTGACAGATTTCCACTGTTTGATGTTGTCAATCAGCATATTGTCAGGATGGTACTTGAAATGTAACTCTTTTCTTTCACTTTCCCTTTCATGTGATCCAATGGATATTCCGATTGTTCAGCTGAGGTAAGTGGATCAGACGTCACCAAATCATATCTCCATGACTGTGCTACTGTTGAGGTGGATAAGAGCAAGATTTCTACCCATGAATACAAGCTTGTATTGGAGTTGGTCGGACAAACGAAAATCGAGGCGACGAACAACTCAAACTCCGTGAAATTGTGTAACATCCCTATGTGTCAAGAAGTGACGCTTCGATTTACAATGTCTAGTAGAGCGAAGAGCAGTGACGAATTCCAACAGATATATACTGAGGATATCCTGAAGACATTGGGTAAGATGTACTGAATAATTTTATTCATTCTCTTCACTGTTTATCATTGAAGCATATTGCACAGACGAGTAGCGAGTTCACTGGGAAAAAGTTTCTATTGTTAGTTTTTGACGTTGTTCATTGTAGACGTTCCGAAAATCACAGACGTACACACAGAAGCTCCCCTAGGCTCAAGTGTCGTCTTACGTTGGACACTTCAAAACTACAACGAATGCAGGGACAAGGAGTTGGTGTTCTTCCTATTCGGGGATAAGACAATCATGCAACTAGCTAAGGGACAAGAGATTAGAATTCCATACTTAACCAATGGCCAGAAGTACAGTGTATACGCATTTCCAAATCGTGTGGACAAGGAAGTACGCGTTTTTACAACTCCGAAATTTGATTTGCTTGCGCGTAAGTCGTATATACTGACTTCCTCGTATTATTATGTAATGTTTTTGACTAGTTGAATGCAGTAAATCTGTTTGTTTTTTCATCACATCTAATTATCGTTTGCCTGAAATTTGAGTTATATTTCGTTTTATAACAGTCACTTAATGATATTGCACACATTTGGTGTCAGTCATAGAGTATTCTGGTTCATTTACACTTTACTGAACTACTTAGCCAGTTAAAAATTAGAACGTGAGTGGACCAGTCACTCATGTTTACTATCAGAACTATACATACTACTCAAAAGAGAGCCTATTTGCCTAACACATTCATTAACTTACTGCTTTATGACGTTTGTTTCCACCGTTATTGACTCTAGGTTGTGTTATCAAGTTTAATGAGTGCCAAAATTCTTATAGAAATAAATTAAATCCATATCATCAATATGACAACCTAAAACTCTCATAAAAAGGTTGGGCATATAACTAGAAGGTGTTTTATACGAGATGGACTCATTCGGGTTCTCATCAGTTGCGTACAACCTATAATCTTCAATAAAATAAGTCAGTGTACAATTTTGACACACTTTTGTCCACCAGCAGGCATACTGCAAGAGCATCATAGTGATATGAAACATGAGGATGATGGGGTGTCTGAAGTGATACGATCTATATACATATATATATATGTTTTCAATTAGATCTCATTAGGCTTAACTCTAATATATATAAGTTTACAAAAAAAATTCAAATATAAACCAATCATGGTGTTTTGTCTATAGGATAATACGATGGTGAATATAAGTTGTGCAATTAGTCATAATAGTAGTAATGATAATAATAATTATAGTAATAATAGAAATGGTCTTATCAATAATAAGGATGAAAAAGTGAGGCAATCTGTGATAACACGAATAATGAAAAACAGCATGATTAAACAAACAACTGTTCAGGTGGAAGTAGTCGATAAAGGCTAGTAAAAACAAATGAACCGATTAAGTAATGTTAGATTGTAAGGGAAGGAAATGAAACACGTTTATAATGAAGATAAGATTAAGGGATGATAAGAAAGGGGATGAAAATACAAACAAAGGGTGGTGTAGAAGTTATTAGTTGGTTACGTCTTAATAGGCCAAGGGAGGGATAATGGCTGTACGAACTTTTTTTGAATACATAATTTAGGTTTAATAATTCGAATGCCTATTGCCTCAGCTGTGTGTAGTAGACGAATACGAAGTCTATTGGAAAGATTCGGTGGGATACGATGAATCACTTTGAAAGCTCTCGTTTTCTCCACTACATGACCACTATCAATTAAATGTGACAAAATTGAGCTACGGATTGTTTTTGTCTGTCCTTTGCCAAACCACGATGGGAGATGCTCACTAACACGTTGGCTAAGCTGTATAGTAGTACGCCCAATATAACTGTCACCGCAGCTGCAGTTGAATTGATAAATACACATAGATGTGGCAAAACTGTCAAGCTTATCCTTCGTTTGCGTCGCAATCATTTCTATTATCACTATAATTATTATTATCATTACTACTATTGTGACTAATTGCACAATTTATATTCACCATCGTATTATCCTATAGACAAAACACCATGATTGGTTTATATTTGAATTTTTTTTGTAAACTTATATATATTAGAGTTAAGCCTGATGAGATCTAATTGAAAACAATATTGTTCGCTTAAATGTGTTGTTCTAAATTTTACTATGGGGATATTTAATATATATATATATGTATTGCTGGATAGGTCTTCGAAAAATTAACTAGCTAATTTGTTGTTAGGATGGTAACAAAAATTAGTAACAGTTACATTGTTAGGTAAGGGACGATCAAAATGTGGTGTACAAGAGGTCAGATGAAAAGATGATGGTGTAATAAGGTGAGTGGAACTCAGCAGGTCAGGAAAAACTAACTCTTATGGAGGTCAGACGGTCAAAGAGGAGGGAGGAAGAGAGTGAAAACAAAGAGTTATTAGGGAATGAGTCACCGGGGCAACTGAAGTCCTGCGATAGATTCCTCTTCGACACATAGGTTAGGTGTCAGCTGTTTTATTGAGATCACCTCATCAAATCAAAGAAGACTTGAGCTATTTTGTCTGTCAATTATTTTGAATGATCCCAGCGCGTCTGCTCAGTGTCTTGAGTCTATCGGGTGTTTGGTGATTGGAGAGCTTAAACTGTTTGGCCCATTTAACCGGAAGCTCCTTGGTACATGTTCGAAGAATTTGACATAAGCACTTCTTTCTGTTCTTCCAATGTAACTGCTCCCACATATACATGTGAATTGAATTGGTATGCACACTTGCAGGTAATATATATGGGGAACTTGTCGATCTTTGACTGAACCAGCGAGTAGGATGTTCAGAGTAGACAGACTTGTTTTCCTGCAAGTTGCGTCCTGGACAGGGCTGTGCTTATCTTCTATTTATGACTCTTATAATATCATCACCCATAATGTCGAGTTCTATGGAAACCGACTCCTTGTTGACCGTAACTGCATCAGGTTTCTGGTGTCCACTCTTGCCATATTTGTTAGTGAAGCTATGTGGTTAATTATAATTGTTCAAGATGACGAAACGTGATCGGCTGAAAACCGTGAAGTTGTGTTGCATGTTTGTCGTTGTATAACTACGGCATTCAGATAATAAGAACAACAGGGATTTCATGGTGCTTTGTTGGTTTCTGAAATAGCACAAAATGAATAATGCTGCATCATCGCATACCACACACAATAAGCAAAGAAACATGGAGTTAAACTATACCACTTTGATTGAACTTGACACCTATTTGCTCAGATAGTAACGACCCAGGACTTAGGTTTCTCCCGCACACCTGCTAATAACCACAAAGGAAATGAAATATATATAAATTTGGGAAACACAACATAACATCATGTCACATAGTTTAGGTGCCACGTAACGCATTCCATGGGTTAATTGTGCTCAACACACTTATGACTACGGAAAATTATTGGTGACAATCGGGAGTCCAGTAGGTGGAAAATGCTTTTCCTTTGGCAGTTGGCATTTGTCTAACCTATAGACAGTAGACACTTATCAGTGTAGGTAACCAGTACACATGGCTGAATAGATGGATGAGGAACCCATACGTGAAAAGAATGACTCATTTCACTTCTAACAGAGTGTATAGCACATCCTTCCCACAGGTGGAGTTTCAGTGAACCCGTCCAGGAGAATGCAATCCAAGCATTATTGTAAATGTAAAGTAGAAGAGAAAATAGTTTAACATTGTAATTTCGGAGTGATGCTCACTGCAAAATTTTACGTTCGAGAAGTTGAAAAGACAAGACAACATCGTTCAGTCTAAACCTATTCGTGAGTCAAATAATGTAAACTTTACATTGACCAGCCTAATTTAACTTAAATTCAACGTGTTAGAAAGGCTTCGCCCAATAGACGACAGTGGAAATCCCTTGTTTATAGCATTTCATCGTAATTCCGTTGATTCCGTCGACCCTATACTCGCGTCAGAAACTCCTGGTTGAATAATGTATGTGATATTTCTCAGGGCAGACCACCTTGTTAGAGATATTTTCACATCATTGTCAATATGTATACAATGGAGTTGCATTGTTTCAGACTCCTTACAACTACATATTTTGCGCATGGTCTCCTATGAATTTCCACTACGTCACTGCGTTTACATCCTCCGCCTTCTTTACCTTACACTACTTTTACGATTATCTAGATTATGTGAGAGACGAAGACCTTGACAACTGGGTGACAATACAGATTAGTTACAGGCAATATCTGATTGACTGACAGAAGGTCTCATGAACTCTGTGCCTTCCGGAATGTTTAGCAATACTCACTGATCATACAGCCCATAAACTGGTTTTCAATTTACTGAGAACATTTCGAGAGTTACATTGCAGTGCAGGAAAAATGGTGCTCGGTGGTTCAGTGGTAGGATGCTCGCCAACCATGCATGTGGTCCGGTTTCGATTCACGGCCGGCTCACACCTTTCCCTCACCTAGTCGGTTGTAACCCCGACAAATAGGGGAGGTTGGACCTCGGGTTAGCAATCCCACCCCGTAAAAGCATCACTGCTACTGAAACTTGAAAGCTGAAACTTGAAGCCCTATGTTCCACCCGGAAAGCAAAAGGAATTAAATAAATAAATAAAGTAAGAAATATAGATATGATGGGAAAATGTATTTCGCAAAGCATATGTATATATACATATATATCGTCCCTTCGCTTACTCTGCAGAAGCGCGTACAATTTTATCAATAATTCAAACACTCCCATTGTGTATTCAGAAGAAGAATAATTCGAAGGAAAAATTTTTTTCAATAACTTCTTCTTCACGCCCCACAGCTGTAAATCCATGAATGTAATATTCAGCGAGGGTAAATCAACGCTATGTTGGAAGGCGTATTAGAAAAAAAGTACAAGATGAAGTAATAATCTGTTGGTTACGATTAACATTTAAATGCATATGAAATGTACAGCCATAAGAACAGAAGATAAAATGTGAGTAAACAGTTGAGCAACCTTCTTGTTCCTTTGTGATGAACAAAAATATAAGTCCTGTGGGTTGAGTTATATTCAGTGGTGTGAGAGAAATATGAATACTACAAAAATATAGACAAACAAGAAGGTTACGCTGAGGGTGAGTTTAGGGGATGGATGACAAATAACCAATATTTTACTCCATCTTACACTTATACCGTAATACATTTTCTGATATGATTTTGTTTTGCCTTCACTGACTATCGCATCCTAGCACATTAGATATATAACTGTAGAGCATGTCGAAGAATTTATTGAAATAATTGCTTGCTCGAATTAATTTTATCGATATTATACATATATATTATTCGCCTAACTGTGTTCACTCCGTGTTTCATTTTGTTGAATAGAATATTAAATATCCGAGTGCGAAACGTCTTAATTATTCGTCTGGATAACATAGTGATCGTTGGCAATCGATACAAATCGCTATGCACAATTATTAATTCCTCTGCACCACCCTAGTATCACTAGTAATAATTTATCCTTTCCCAAAACTGTTAACTTAATTCTACTTGATTTTACATGCACTACTATTACATTTGTAATTTCGTGTGTTCTCTAAAATACACTTCCAAATATATATTTGTTACACCAGGTCTTCATAATCTTCCTCTACTTCTGCGTCCCTTCTACTCTCAGATGTCCTCGTCGAATGACAGGATGATGTGAAGTGGGGTGGGGGAATCTGTGTGGTAATGTTTGTTATTGTGCAAATGATGAGAGATCAGTTAGTGGTCGTTGGTGTGAAAATCAACGGTTTGAAATCCGAATAGCCAACTGTGAAGGGATGAGTGAGTGAGTCAACGAGTGTTGTTCAGCGTGAGACTGTGATGATGTTATGAATGATTTTATGACTTATCACCAAATCGGTTTTTATACTCAGTTGTAAGAATCGATTTTACATACGACAACAACAATATGGGAAATTAAGTTCACTCGTTCACTAGTAACCATGCATGTGTTCTTTTTCCAGTGTTTTATATCAGACAACTTAGGATGTGGGCGTCCAATTGCTTGCCTTAATTAGAAAAGAACTTCAACGTGAAACAATTTGGATGCTAGACGTTTTGTGTGCAATAATGGGAGATACTTCCTAGACAAAATCTTTCATTTCGGACTGTTCTCAGTTCACATATACAAATAAACTTCATTTGCACTGTACTGAAGTAAAAATGTTTGTTCTAGTGTTCTTGTGTTCTACCTCATACCCTAGCGACGAGATTACGGCATATTAGACTGATACTTTCTAGGATATGAACTTGTTACTATACGTCAGTGTAATTCTGTTCGAACATTATCGATTACTGTTTTATAATCTATACCCTTAAAATTCAAGTATTCCCCTTAAACTACTGAATTTTCGACGTACATGGAGACTAAAACTTATTGTGATCTGTTATCATTAATGTTGTCTCTTTTCTTAGTGTCATTCAGTTTACATATTGATTGTCTCATGGTGAACCATGCACCACAGTCTTACCACCTGCTGTTTATTGCATACTGCCTTTATACCAGCCACTCACTAATCACATTTTACAACGTTGAACTAACTTGTCAATTTCCCTTCTCCAGCTTGCATGATTCTCTTGTGATTATTCAACGACACCGTCTTGTAATTCACAGTATTTTCTGATTGCATTCAGCTGGGCACATCTGTCACACAAATACTATTGATTTCTTCACACTCTAACTAATGTTATTCTCCGTAGAAACTGTATCCTCCGTATAACTATCTGTTATTATATTGGTAACGTATTTTATTTTATAACTGTAAGCGCCTGTAGACAATTGATTGAAAGAGTATTCTTCGTCCTGACCAACTTTTAATTATGAGTTATTGATAAATTCCTGAAAGTTAGCATAGCACTATCAGTGTGGTATGATCAGCTCATTACAACACACCCACACACTGAAATCTGGCCACAGAAAGTAAGAAAGGTATGTGACCTTAAAGAAGTCGTACGATATAGTAGTGTAGCACAATAATGACGAAGAGAAACATCACCTCATTAAATTTTATTATTATTTTCTGCTTATTAATATAATTAGTTGAAAAGACCAAGTTTCTAAATGTTCCGCTTTACACACAATGTAAATGGTTTAATATAGTTGAATACAGTGATAAATAATAGCTGTGCAGTGCACCTTAATTTTCATTAGTTTTCTCACTAATTTCGGTTGATTACGAAGTCCACCTCAAAACCGATCTAGTACCTTAATTCCATCACTTGTAAATGTGAATTATAGAATATGTATTTCATTAATGTTTATCGGGTGTTTCTGATGGCTTGTATTGCGATATCAGGTAGTCATTATTACAAGTTCTAATTCAGTCTGACGGACTGAGCAGTACATAGAACGTCTTGTACAATTTTAGTGGATTGCCTTATGGTGTAATTATTTTGTGAGTCTGAAAAGTATTCCAATAATTAATACTTGTTTTGGTTGTGCTAGAACAATCCAGATCGTATCATTAATACATCACCTAGAAGCACACCATCTATGATATCCTGCTAAAATGTCATCTGCATAGTAGTAAAACAGTCGTCGATGGGAGAGACGAATGAATGGTAACCAATTGTAAGTGTTACCAGTGCTGACGAAGTTTCATTGGGCGAACAACGTTTCTACATGACTTTAATGCTAACTTATAACCTTACAATGTATGCAACAAATTGTTTAGGGTGGGGATTTTGCTTTCTTGATTCAGTCAATCATTTAGAAATTCGCAAATGTTTGTGGATGTTTCGGAAGATATTTCGTTTTTATCTATTGAAATGGTTCAATTGGTACAAGATCACGTATACGAATTTTATGTATGCTTTTTACTACCTATAGTCAGTCATTGCAGATGAAGTTTCTTCACATTCTCACCATCGATGTTATTCTAACACACCTTCACCGTTTTTAAAAAGACAGAGTTTCTGTAATGTGGTGACTGCGTCTTTGATCAGTGTGAGTGTTGTGAACTCCTGGTGTTCCCGAAGTGTTCATGCATATCTTAACGAAAAGGCCCTTCGAAATGATTGTGAACCAGATACAGTTTCGACACGTCTTTTAGCTGTGTGCGTTATCTTGTTAACTTTTTAGTGTCAGGGATTGCTCTTTACAACCTCCCCTCTAAGATTCACATATAAGCCAATTCCAGAAACAGCAGTCTAACACTGAAAAACATCACTGGTCAGGTAATTTCACATCTTCAGTAAATCAAAATGTTTAAATTCGATCCCACGGAGACCTTTCTGGGAGTGAGAAATAAGTTAGTTAAAAGTGTTGCGAAAAGTATTCAGGATGATTACATCTGTCTATTAGTTTCATACCATCTAATTGAGATTTTTGTGACGTGCTGACCAGCCGCTTTCAGAATGTTCTATCCTTAGATGGATGTCAATTGAGCTGTAAAATGAGATAATATCAAGGCATGTGTCCTAGGACCTAGTGTACCGAAATTCGCCCATCAAAGTGGCAGTGGAGTATCAAACTAACATTAGGGATGACGCAAGTCTCCCTGAATCGCACTTTCAGTATAAGTGGTGATTCTTGTGATTTAGCAGTTAATGAGATAACTGTTTTGTGCTTGTAACATAGACACGTACTTTTAAGCCTCAGTGAGAATATTATCACCTAGTAGTTCGTCAAACCGGTGAGCAGCTTTCCCACAAATAACTCTCTGCCTACCTCCTTACATCTGTGCGAAAAGAATTAACATCTTAATCAAATCTGAAATTCGGAGGTTGAATTCAATTTATAACCACAAGTTTATATCCTGTAAAACGCCTCTAATATATGGAAGCGTGTTAAAGAAATTACTGGTAGCAGGCAGATGAACTGCAATTCTTATTCATTTGATGTGTGTACCCAAAACAAGTCTTTCATACATTCTCCTACAAATGCTAAGCTTTCTAGTGTCACAAGTGTTACTGAAAGCTGTTTGCTGGTTTCAATACAAATGGCGTTCTGAAATGTCTCCAGTTGCTGAACCCTTCCCGCAGCCTAGGTGCAGATGGTGTGCCTAGCTTTGTTCTTAAAAAACGTGCAGATATCCTTTGTTGTCCTCTCACTGGCATACTTAATGAATCGTTTTTCCAGAAATGTCGTGCCAGCCGTTCAGAAGGACATTAAAATTGCACCTATACCTAAGTCATCGACAGGAACATGTATGAAATTTACACCTATTGCTATAAGCTCTCCTTTTCTAAAATCTATGGAGGACTTGCCCCTAATTAATCTTGAACCTTCACTTAAAGCCTTTGACGATCCCAAACAACCCGCCTGCAAACATAGTAGAAGTAATTTAGACGCAGTTGTAGTCTTGCATCATAACAACGCCTCCAGTTTAGACAAAGGGGTTAAATTTCTTCGCTGCGCATTCCTAGACTACACATTTACTTTTGACTCATTACCTAGGGGTATTTCGTTGAATAAGCTTGCTGAAACTCGAAATGAGTGTTGGGTTGTCAACTGGCTGCATTCTTATTTCTCAGGAAGACAGCAGCACATTGTGAGTATTGTAGAATAATGGCAAAGTTAAAGCACACGAGATAAACAGAGTAAAATATTACGAAGCTGAATCACGTTTAAATCTCTCTTGTAATAGTTAGCATTAATTAGTTTGAGGTAAAGAAATCAGCTTTCATTTTGTAGCAGCCCCTTATCGCATTGAGATAATTAATGCTGTAGGGTTTATTGATAAACTGAGTAAGCTTAAGTTTTTAGAGTAGTTGACTGAGCTGGACTGTTGAGAACAACAAGTGATTTCCCTGATGTTATTTTTCTCTCAGCGAAACATCTATAGACTGAAAGTCCTCATTTTTCAATAATAGTGCAACAAAGACTGTGGTCGAAGGAGAGCAGCATTTTGAACATCCTATCAAATTATCGCTGAGTTAAACAGCTATCTAGGACTCTCATTTAAGCCTCAGCTTCCTCATACGAATCAGGCGGACAGATATGGGATGTGAATTCAGACTAATCTAAGTATTTTTCCAGGCGTAAATAGCATACAGAGATAAATGAATTTATGAATTGTTACATTCATCAAATAAAGTGACTACAGGTCAAGAATGAGGATGAAACAGTATAGATAAAGATACAGCATTCATCCTATCCCCATTTGATAGTAAACGCTATCCTGTTTCTGTTACTATTGTCTGACATCATCAATTACTATAGTGAATTACATTAATGCGTATTTTCAGTACCGTGTATCAATTTACTTGAGATTTCTTGTTTCCTTCTTTTGCGTTCTGTAGCACATTTAGCAATTCTACGTCCAAGCATTCTACACACTGCTGGCAGCGTATAGATAATCACACACAATGCCTCAAGGATTTCGAATACTGTCACTCCAGATAGTCCTAAGAACAAACCAAATGCACCTCCGAGAGAGGCGATCAAATTAAAGATACTCATTTGTTCACCTTCACTCATTATCGGCACACTGGCTTCACTTGCGTAGACGGTGATAACAGCCAAATCTTCCGATGATACATTCTCTTCAGGCTGTTTCTTTTCACCTTTAACAATTATGCTATTTAGAATGGTTTGATGCTGAATAATTTCAGGCTGGTAAACTAGTTCTTGGCAGAATTTCGGACAATTCCATAATCGTTCCAACTCTAATGTCAGTTGTACGAGTATTGCTGTTTCATAGACTGCTGGTATTGTCATTTCAACGATCTGTTAATATATCAAAAGTATGGGGAAATATCCACAATGAGGATCTCGTCACATGCTACTATGACAGGTTACTATCACTTCTTTGTTATACCGGCATCAAAATGGAATAGTCATTTAGATACCAGAAAAAATAAGGATCATTTATTCCAAGACGAGAAATAGGCTTAAACAGTGAAAATGCGGGCTTTCAAGATTGAACAGCCTATTCCTCTTCACTACTTCTTTCTTTCCATTTAGGTTGTTTGTATTTCGACATATCCTCTTTGTTTACCATTCTGTCAGAGATTTGGAGTGAACAGCTCTTGAATAACTCTGCTTGAAAAAGCGTTGATTATTATTTACTAATTCTAATGACGGGTGCATCACCAAGTTATGTATATACGAGAAATGTATCTTGGTGTAAATATACCGAAGACTTTGAGTTTAAAATTAGTAGTCTATCAGTTTAAAACTGAGAGGAATTAAGGAGAAGTGACAATATAGAAACCTTGATGAACAGTGCAATTAAACACGGAGATTCCTAAACAATACAGAATATCTAACGTACATCATTTTAAATTTATGAAAATTTGCTTTAACCGCTCCAGTGTGATGAGACTTTTATGCTCCCGTTTCAACTTCATCGTCAGGACTGTTAAGCAAAGAAGCTGTTCATCTACAGCCAACTAAATAACTTTGCAAAGTGTCAAATGTATTCTGCAACAGGACTATTCAGTAACATAATCATGTTGACATCATTTGTGAGTAATACCGTATTCTCATCTGATTTAACGCCCATTATAAAATTCATTCAAAGCCACAAGTATTCAGTCTGATAATTAGTTGTAATTTTTCAAAATGTAATAACATACTGTCTCCTTGTATTTACATAATCATATAAAGCACGTTGTAAAGCGTCACTTCTGAAAGCCAACTTGGTCAACAGTGACACACACTCTGTCTGTCTCTCTGTCTGGATTCAACATAGAACTTGGCACCGAAGTGCAGCAGTTCGACTTGCCACGTTCCAAATAGCACACAAAGGTAGACAAGAAAATGAGTGAAGAGAATCAATAGAGTTTTGACATGTATAAGAGTGAAACAGAATGGGTAATGGTTGAAAGGAATATGAAAGATTACAGAGACTGAATACATCTGCGCCATTGACAACAATTTTGAGCCATGTCACCTATTGTCTCCAGCCATTGATTCTTAGAGTCCCGAGGGCCCCAACCCGGAAGTCTGCATCTCCCTACCTGACTCAGTTTAACTGTCAGGGATTTCATGGATTGATGCCATGTTTTTGTTTGGCCACCACTTACTCTTTTCCAACCTGCACCTATATCAGCTAGTAATGCCCGTCGGGGGAGGCGATGGCTAGGCACGCGCAGCACGCGACCTAACCATCTCAATCTATGTAACTTTATAGCCTCGTCGATTGATTTTCCCTCTTTGCCCAACACTCTACGCCTAACGTCAACATTACTTACCTTATTATACCACCTAACTCGAGAAAGAGATCGTAAACATCTGTGGTCAAAAACAGACAATCTCTTCATGTCTTCCGCTCTCAATGGCCACGTCTCACCGCCATAGAGGAGGACGGAGCGGACTGCTGAGCAGTATACACGTCCCTTGGTTGACAGCCGGATGTCACGCCTACGCCAGAGACGGTGTAAGTTAGCGAAAGCAGCCCGAGCTTTCTCGATCCGCGCTGTGATTTCGTCACCAATCAATCCGTTGGTGCTGATGCAACTTCCCAAATAGGTGAAGTGGTCAACATGTTCTATCACTTCACTCTCTATCACTAAGCTAGGAGTTGACGTAGTCCAATCCTGTAGCAGCATCTTACACTTTACAGGGGCGAATCGCATGCCAAACATACGAAGATTGCTGCTCAGGGTGTTCAGAAGACTCTGCATTTTGTCAGCATCCTCCCCTAACAGGACTATGTCATCTGCATATTCTAAGTCCGTAAGACTATTCCCTGGTAACAAGTCGATTCCTAAGTCGTTAAGTTCAGTTAAGGATACTTCCATTAGCATATATATGATGAAGTTAAACAGAAATGGGGAAAGTAGACATCCTTGATGGACACCACTGGTTGTTATCAATTCAGACGACAATTCCCCATAAGCCTTTACACAGCTACGTGAGTTTGAGTAGAGTGCCTTGATTAGTGCAATGTACTTTCTTGGTACTCCCTTCACAGTCAAACATTGCCATAGTACCTCTCGATCCACGGAGTCGAAGGCCGCTTTCAATTCAAGAAATATGACAATTGTTGGACGCCTAAAAGTGTTTCTCTGTTCTAGGATCTGTCGGAGAGTGAAGATATGATCTATGCACCCTCTACCTGGCCTAAAGCCTGCTTGATTTTCCCTCGTTTGTTCCCCCCGAGTTCTGCCTAGTCTGTGCATGATTACTGAGCCTACGATTTTAGAAACTATGTTCGTCAGGCTGATTCCTGTATGATTATCACATGAGGACTTGTCTCCCTTCTTGAATATTGGTATAATAAGTGACTTACCCCAATCTGATGGAACCATCTCTGATTCCCAGACGTTACCTAGTACCTTAGTTAAACTACATACTAGTATGTCACCCCCATATTTAAACACCTCCGGAATAATTCCGTTGGGTCCTGCTGCCGTTTTGCCTCGCTTCAAATTACACATAGCTTTTGTGACCTCACTTACAGACGGCGGGCCAGTGTCTATGTCCCATTCGGATGTGTGCTGGATGGCGGGGAGGTTCAGTGTGGCTGTAGGCAAGTTAAATTGTTCCTCAAAGTGTTCCTTCCAGCGTTCAAGGCGTCTATCCTGAGAGCTAATTAAGGAGCCATTTTTCCCAAAGATAGTCTCGTTTATGATTTGCCTTCTCCCACCCGTTTCCCTGATTAGTCTAAAGAGTTGCCTAGTGTTGCCTATCGCCGATGCTTTTTCCATCTCTTTCGCCTTTGTCACCCCCCACTGTTCACGGTCCTCGCGGAGACTTTGCGTAAGTTTCCTTTTGTGCAGCTTTCGCTCCTCATTGAATTCGGAGCTCGCCGGAATAAGTCTTCTAGCATCTATCAGTTCGGATGAGGCAGTCGAAATCCAATGGTTTTTACTCACCTTAGGATTTACCTTATTCACAGCTTTTACAGCTGTATCTATGGCTGACTGAATATTCTTCCAGACTTCTTCAGGGTGAGCACAGCTGTCGAACTCAGATATGTGTTTAGCTAGTTCTTCCTCAAATAGGGACTTATTTTCCTGATCGAGCTGCGGACGTGGTGGGTTTACCGCCAGCTGTTTCCCACATCCGTTCAGTCGTAAGCACACACGAGCGCGGACCAGTGCGTGATCGGTATCTACACACGTGTTCCAGAAGGAGCGACAATCTCCTACTTACCCACGCCAACGATAGCTTATTGCTATGTGGTCTATTTGTGTCCAGCGTTGGTTTGATGATGGGGGTCGCCAGGTCAAACAGTGTCTCTCCTTGTGTTTGAAGTTAGTGCTTACAAGAAACAAATGATTATCTGAACAGAACTGAAGGAGACGGTCACCGTTGTCGGTTCGCTGGCACGGAATTCCGTATGTGCCACCGACATTCTTCTCAGATTGACACAATTTCCCTACTTGAGCATTAAAGTCACCAGCTAGAACCATTATATCTGAGCGTTTAGCCTTTCGCAGCAAACTAGACAGCTTTTGGTAGAACTCATCCTTCGTTTCATCCAAACTGCAGTCAGTGGGGGCGTAGGCGGAGATTGCGAAAAGGCATCGGCGAGTAGTGCAGTCCTTTCTCCTTTTCACTGATCCGTTCAGACGGACAGCACACATTCAGCTATCTACCGGGATCCAGTCAAGTAATGTCTTTTCTGCCCTAGTACTCAAAGCTATCCCAACAGCAGCTAGTCCTCGTGAGCTAGCCGTCGCATCTCCTGACACCCTCAAGGTGAATTTTGCAGATTCATTCTGTTGGCCAGGTGGAGTTAGGTGAATAACCACACTTGGGTCTTGTATGCGTGTTTCTGAAACACAACATACGTCAATGGCTCGGGATGCCAGAGTCTTGGCTAGTGATGCTTGTTGTCTTATTTGACAAAGTGTCCTAACATTAAATGCTCCTATATGAAATTGGTGGCGTGGCTTTAGGAGACTATCGGTAGTGGCTTTTTGGCTTCCGTCGTTTTCAGTGCACACAGAGTGAAGAGGAAGTGAAGAGCCATCAAGTAGAGGAGTTGCACCAGTAGAAGGAAGGCAAGATAACAGAGATGAAGATGAAGACAAAAATGAGTGAGGATTAGAGAGGTTTCGCGTGCACTTCGGATTGTGAGGGCGATTATTACTTCCAGGCTGCCCACACCGTGGAAGTTGGTTGCGTGACCGCAGAGCCCGGGGGACAACTGCTTGAGGCCGGTCACACACGGCCTGTTTTTGTTTGTTGTTTTTCGTTTGGTGTGTCTCAGTAGCACACTTATCACTTCTGCCCTGTGTGAGTGTGACACACACACTCACTCTGATGTGCACTGCCACACATAGATAAATAATGATTTCTTACCAATTAATCCTGTATTTTAATGGACCACTTCGCTCATTTATCAGTGATAAGCACTTATTTCGATAACTTTCAAATGCAAACGTATTTTTATTCTGATTCGCCTTATATCATGAATATTGTTCTATAATACTGATGGACACAGACCCACAGATAGTGCGCTAAATTGTAAATTTTGGTGAACAGATCTGTGGTAAGTTTCACGTGCACCAGTAGGACTTACTTTTTCTCGTGGTAGTGCCGCAACACGATCATGACATGCGATTCGCCTCATAAACTCTTCTGTGCCACTTTTATATTTCTTATTGGGGGAATGACAGAATCCATTTTCAACGAATTCACCAGCCATTTGTGTAGGAACTAGATAATCCTCGGATAAACATTCACACTGTCTAAGCATAACAAGTTGCCGCATTTGTGCAACACAATTTGAATGCGTATAGCCTAGCTGATAATACCGCCATAAAGTGCCACCAGAGGCAAAGAAAGTAGCCATTTGCAGATATTTATGATGTGCAATTGCTTGTCTACATGGTCGAAAAAGTGTTGACAGTCTCTGATGAACCTGAAAATTTAGCGCGTAAAAACTGCTCCTTAAACGTACATTCATAATGTGTTTGATTAACCATTAAAATTTGAAACAAACTAGCCCCAGGAATACAGAGCTTGTTAGTTCATTGTGCAAAACGGAAACTGTTTAGTGTTCCTCAAGCTGAGATGCTTTTATCTTGTACATTTCGTCACGAGAGTTTGTGAAATCTTCGGTGATAACTGTGAAAAACACCCTGCCTTTCCAAATGTGTACATGTACACTCCGATTTATATATAAGTCATTCATGCATTGCTTTACATATTCTTCTGGATTCAGAGTTGCTCGTCTCTGTTTTTTGATGAATTTGTATAACTTATGCTTCACACAATTATTACTACTGATGGAAATTTGCGATGGCTTTCAGTTTAACTTGTATACGCTACAGTCAAGTGTGTGAAGACCATAGGACTGGTAGAAAGCATCAGATACAATAATGTTGATTCCCTATGAAGTCAACAAATACCACTGAATTCAAGAAATTTAGGAAAAATATTTACAACTCCAAAAATTAATAGTCCTCTACCTTAAGAGCTATTTCTAGATGATTCATATCCACTGTGTATACGAAATACCGAAGGAAAACTAACTTAACATGCTGGAATGTGCTTTCACATTGATAATTGTTTTATCTCCGCTGTTTAACAAGTGGAAATCACTCAGGAATTGATGTTGTATTCCAGCGAATGATTTACGGTCATGTTAGAACTGAATTTATGATGTAGGTGTAGAATATGTACACAGATAAGTATTTCTGAGTTCACTAAACCAGTCGCAGACTAATAAGTGGTTATTCGTCGATGCAAAGTAGTTCAGTTGATTAGTTAAATACAGTCTCATGATAGCAAATAGCACTAATGTCCACTTCTTTTTGGCGTAGATCTTCAGCAAAACAGTTTCTTTAATCGGTAGAAATGTTTTCTAAATTATGCAGCAGTGATTAGATAATTTTCAGATTTGTTGTTTTACTTTCAATTTACTACATACCGTGGTATGATAGTGAAAAATAAATTTTAGTTAAGTGGGCAAATAAGGTATCTTTTAATATAAATGCTCAGCTCCCGCTGATCTCTTACTAGTTATCACTGATATAAGAATACAATTTTGGCACTGGAATATAGTATAACTTCATGGTAGACTAACAAATAATGAGGTCTAAGGGATGCCATCGACTCAATTGAGTCGAATAACTTAGTTAACAAAATACCTTGCGATAAAAATGAGGTAAGTCCAGTAAATCGGTGCCAATCAAGTTGTCGAGACACAGGAACTTAACTGAATGTAGAAATGTTCGGCAAACGCGGTAGAGGGCACCAAAGCACTTCGTAAAATGACCAACTTAGAGAAACATTCCACTGTTGTAATGTATTCACTTACACCGATACTCACAGTAGTAATGGAAAGAGCTACAGTTGATAAAACGAATGTGTGTAGGTGAGGGGTTGCGTTGATCTCTGAATCTTTCCTCGTCCAGTCTACTTCAAATATGTACAATAGAAATAATGAAACAGTGACACCTTAAGATATAGAAAATATTATTACCAACAAAATGAAGTGACAAGAAATAGCGGAAATTTATAGCCGAAATCTGAGAGTTCGTGTGGATAGCTTGATATTATTCTGTGAAATAAATCTGACCTCAAACACAGTCAATAAATGAATGATACTCTTTCACGATGTACCAAATATATATATATATATATATATATACATATATATATTGTTTCCTTTAGTTCCTGGAAAAACATTGGGCTTCAGCCACACGTCTTCACTGCGTTCGGCTCCGTGCCAACGTTTTCACCTGGCTCTACCTCTGCCCACATGCTTTCATCTCCTCTTCACATGACCTCCTCCAAGTCACCCTTGCACTGACGACCAACTCGCCGCTTCCCTTGCGGGTTCCACTCGAGCAATGGCTTGTCTAGTGATATCACTTGATGGTTTCCTCAGAGTATGGCCAATCCACCTCCATTTCTTCCTGCTTATTTGTTTCACGATCGGCTCCTGGTTGGTTCACTCCCACAGGTCCCTATTGCTGATCTTCTCTGGCCATCTGATCTTGAGTATTGAGCGAAGACAGCTGTTAATGAAGGTCTGTAGTTTGTTTGAGGCGCTCTTTATGACGCGCTGGCCAAGTCTCTGATCCGTAAATTGAGTAGCACTGACTTCACATTGGATTTGAAAATCCGGATCTTATTTTTGATGCTGAGTGTTGTTGACCTCCACACAGATTTGAGAGTAGTGAAAGCTTGTCTTGCTTTTCCGATTCTCGCTTTGATATTCTCGTCAGTTCCGCCTGTAGTTGAAACGATGCTTCCCATGTAGGTAAAAGAGGTTGTTTTTTCCAGGTTCCTTTTATTTATGCTGATCCTTGTCTGTTGTTGTTGTTCTTGTCCAGGAATCTTCATCACCTCTGTTTTCTCTATGTTCACCTGAAGTCCTATCTTTGATGCTTCTTCTGCCGACTTGTTGCTTTTCGCTTGCAAATCTTCCATTTTGTGGGAAATCAGACAAATACCATCCGCGAAGTCCAGATCCTCCAGGTTTTTTGTGTGAGTCCATTTTATGCCTGTTTCCTCGCTGCCCACTTTCTGTCTGTCTGTCTGTCGCATTATCCAGTCTACCGCAATCAGGAAAACCATTGGAGATAGTAGGCAGCATTGACTTACTCCTGTCTTCACTTCGAAGGATTCAGCGAGTTTCCCGTTGTGGATTATTTGGCATGCAGCATTGTCGTACAACTGTTGGATGAGAAGTATAATTGTCGGCGGCAACCTGTAGTAGCGACGTAGTTGACAAATCACCTCTCGATCAACGCCGTCGAAAGCCTTTTCAAAGTCGATGAAGTGGAGATAGAGAAGTGACTGCCATTCCAGGCTTTGTTCAATGAAGATCCGTAACGTGGCGATTTGATCGATGCATGACTTGTTTCTCCTGAATCCAGCCTGTTCCAGTCGAAGTTTTTCATCCAGGGCGTGTTTGATTCTCTCCGGGATGATGCGGCTTAGTATTTTGCTTGGGATAGACAGGAACATAATTCCGCGCCAGTTCTTGCATTGACTTAGGTCTCCTTTCTTTGGCAGTTTGAATAAGTTACGAAGTATTTTACTAAATAAAATTATTCTACTGTGTAACTGTCATCTGCTTTCTCTACAATCAGCTTCATGCTGCTTACTAGTGTTGAGTAGTCGACGTTTATATTTCATGTGCTATATAGGGAACTCCGTACACAAAATCGTTCATTTCCATTGGACAAAATCTTTCTGAATACATCCACATTCACTTTTGTCTGTAGCAATTATTCCCCTATGGTTAGTCTGTATCTGCTGTTCACGTCTACCTCATGTTCAACCATCCACTGGAGCTGATTAACTTTTACCTCATTTTCCTTGCTTCGTACATTCATGTGTTGTTGATTGCTAACCTCGAATCATTCTTAGCACAGCACTGCTTTCGACGCACCATGACAGTGCTTTTGACGACATTAAGCCCAGACACTTGATAATTTGAGGTTGGTGGTTTGTATTCATTATTCTTATCTGTTAATATAGTACTTATAGATGTTCATTTGGCAATTATCGCTTCAGGTTTCCTAGAAGAAGTCTACACTGCACCAACAATACAGGTTTATAAATTGTTGTTTACTGTCCTTATTTATTGATATATTACAGTGTTGTAGACAAATCTTTTGTTCTGGTTTTCGCTGATAACTTAACCATTTAGTTTATTTTAATTTTCCTTCTTAATATCTCAGTAGAAATCTAGAGTTTCACTCACTGTATTCTATATCAGAGAGCGAAAAACATCATTCTACAATGGAACTCTTCTGCATTGTAATATCAGCACATCAATATGTTACTATTTTCCTTTCCCTGGTGTGCTATTTCAGTAAATTTTTTTCTCGCCTACAATATGTGTGTATTTTACAGACTTATTGAGCAACTTACATACTGACTAACACCAACGCTGACGTGTTGACCATACCGAAGCCCAAAGGAAACAATTGATCGTGCACTGCCAGCCTTGAAGACTTCGTCTGCAGGTAGATCACCGGCATAACCATGTCTTTTATTTTCATGTAACATGATGTGAAAACCGTCAAACTTATGGACATTTTTTATGTCGTATGCTTTTTTAACACTTGATTCGTCTGACAAGAATAATCTGTCGTCCCAGGCCTAGAGAAAGTGAAGATCATTGTTGGGATAACTCAAAATCAGTAAACATAAAGAGCAGTTGAATAAATATTTGTCGATTATGGGTGAGTGATAACCAGCTTAAATTTGTGAAAAAACATTTGTCTCTTTGAAGTTGAAGATACTCCCTACCGATAAGCATATTATCTTAGTCCACATATCCATTTCTGGTGTTACCAGTAGCCAAAATGAGCAGTAACCAATGTCATATGTCTTTGTAAGAGTAATTTATAGAACATCGAATTGGTAATATTCCCAAATTTCACTGCATAATTTAGTGAAAGTATGTGTTTCTTTTTTCGAATAACTTAGTGAAAAGTAGGATAACGTTTTTGCCGAAAATATATGACATATGTTTGACTGGAATTCAGTGACCTAGTCTAATGGAAAGGTTTCCACAGTCAAGATGCATACTTGGGAAAATAAGAAGTAAGATTGGGCCCTTACCTCAACAGCAAGTGTTTCTATTACTGAAATTTTTAGGTGTTTTGTTGCTTTTGAGCATTTATTACTCTGAACGCAGATTCTTACTTTGGTAAAGTCATTATTTCACTTCACAGGAAATTTCCACACAGTATTAAAATTTAAAACCCTGTTAAAGATGTCACCATTCACCTTTCCATCACCATCTTCCACTAGCATAGCCAAAATCATCACCAACCAGGTGAGTGTGAAAGGTATTCCTGTCGATGGGGAGGAATCATTTCTCTCTGAGTTGATGGTCCACTGGTGCAATGCTCACCTATCACATAGTTGCTCCTAGTTCGATTTTTGGCCGAC